GACGGAAACAATAGAGCAACTCCGTAATGAAAATAATAGATTGAGGCAATATCTCACTAAACGTAATAATCAAATAGCTAGACAAAAAAGGCGAATTACTGATTTACATTATCAAAAATTTTGCTATAAAATTATTACATTATCGTGACAGACATGAGCTTCATACTATGCAAGAGGCTCTACAAATAGTCGATGAGACGAATCAAAATTTATATGATATGCTAGAAGTACCTATGGCAGATACAAGTTTTTTATCTGGCTTATTAGTTGATGATATGTATATACAAAGAATAGAAGAGAGTCTTGAAGGAGCATCACAGCCAGGAGAAAGGCAAAGTCGCTTATACGATGAAATAATGAAAATAAATATAATGCAAAGCTCAAATGAAGGATCGCAAATTTTATCAAGCAACGAATCACAAATTTTACCAGATTTTTTAATCCAAGATGAAAACGAAGAAATACAATATCTTGATACAAATTCACAAGATAATAATATATCTGATTCAGAAATGGCTACCATTATAGAGTTAACAAATGCTATAGACGGTTTTGTGGATAATATAGCAACTGTTAGAAATATTCTGATAGATCAAATAAAAAGAGCTACACGACAAATGCGGCATAAATATGATAATTTACAAAATGATATAAATCATGAACAACAACAACAACATGATATCGAAGCAGAACGAGATTTATCTATTCAGGCTCTCAATAATGAACAAGAAGAGCGCCGTCGTTGGTGAGAAATTGCTCAGCAAATAGAAAGGGGAATGCAAAAACGTATTAACACTTTATTGCTTGAAAATTTTGCATTAAAATTTAAAAATCGCTGATTTTTTTAACAGCTACAAAGATGTCGCGCGCATGGAAGGAGTCTACAGCTTAGGTTGGATATATGTCAAGATGATTTATTTCTCAGTGATCTCCAATTAGATATTAAATGGGGTAAGTGGATGACTCGTGCTCAAAATTCTGAACAATTAATTTTAAATTTGAATCAACAAATTTTTGCGTTACAGAATAATCCATTAAATATGGTTGAAGGTAGACGACGACCAGTATTAAAATTAGTATATCAATCTTTTCAACCAATTCCACAATATATTGGGCAAATGCCACCTGATGATTATATAAATACCTTAGAACAAGCATGGTCCATTGCAGTACCCCAAATGACGGCTCTTGAACTTGCAAATACTGGGGACTTTAACAATACTGTTAAATGTGATGTTTTAAAAAGCAAAATATGTAGAAAGTTTGCTCCTGTACCTGCAAATAATCCTTTTACGGTAGGAATCCCTGCTATAAATACACCACCAATATTACGGGTATATTTAAATGCTAAATATCAAAGAGAAACAATAGATAGTCAACAATCTGCAATTCAAAAATTGACTCAAGAAAAATTTCAAATATCTGATACTCCAGATTTTTATGAATCTAGAATTGACCGCTTTTAATAGGAACAGCTAATAATGATGAACAAGCATTAGAATTTCTTAAAAATCATTTACCAGGTGAGCTTTATACATGAATGAGGTTCGATTATTAACAAATTTTTTTTTGCATTAAAAAATATGTGGTTAGAACGTACTCCAAATTTGAATGGAAAGCAAGTTTCTCAGCTACCTGTAATTCCTATGATTTCACAACCAGTATTTCCCTCAACCGATACACAAAAAATGATTGATGAGGCATTAGCAAAACAGAAGGCTGATTATGATGTCAAGTTTGAAAAATTGAAAGCTGATTTGATACAAAAATAACTAAGCAATTCAAAAAAACACCTCCACCTGATCCACTCAAAGACTATGAAGAAACACATGAACATTATGCAAGCCAGGGGGATCCTAGATGGGCAAATCTTTTTAGAGAAGAAGCACTACAATGGTTTGATAAAGCTTTCCCCCCTCCCATACCAACTAAATTAGAACGATTACGTTCATCAAATCAAAATACTAGAATGGATAGGATAGAATCAAAAGTAGATGAAATTGGACAAATGACATCTCAATTCGGAAGAATGGTACTTGAAAATAAAACTGAAAAACCTGTAGCCAAATCAAATCGAATGCAAAGATATTATCCTTTTCAACCAATAAATCAAGAAAATTATACAGCTAATGAAGAAAATAGTGGATATAATAAAGAAGATGATATATGGCATGATGATTCTGAAAAAAAAAAAAACGGATATTACAAATAGATAATAATAAAGCTAGTTATATAACTATCTCGAATAAAAATGAATTATTTGAATCGCTTATATATTTGAATTGCTATGTGAATGATATACTTATTAATAAAACATTCTTGGACTCTGCTTCTGGATTCAATGGAGTAAATAAAGCTTTTAGAAAAGTATTAGGATGGTAACCCGATAATTTATCAACTTTTAAATATCAAAGTAATGTAAAACATATCGTTAATTCATTAGAATGGTACACAATTACTTTAAAAGATGAAAATCTAAAATTAGTTACTATTGCAGGTAATTTTGCATGTATTGATGATGGAGATTCAAATCCCATGGTTTGTTTAGGTATGGCATGGATTCAGAATACTAAGTGTATACCCGATATACTGTAAATAAAAATTCAATAAAAGTACAAGTATATGAAAAAACTTATAATATACCAACAATAAAGAAATCTCCTGAAGTTAATATAGATACTCAGTCTGATTCTACAAATAAAGAATTATCTGAAGAAATAACAAGTATCAAGGACTTAAAAAAATACAATGAACTTGAAAAGCGACTCATAAAAACTGAAGAGTGGTTTGATATGGCTCTAAAAGCAGGTAAAGTGCTTGCAGAAAGATGTTCTCAGCTTACTGAGACAAAGATGGAAGTATAGGAGCTATTCTTTCAGTATCTTTCATTAATTTTCAAGATCGTTTTTCCTTCTAGATATATTATTGCTTTGCAATGTGACTTTATCTCTATCAGAAGAGACACCTTTTTTATTGCACATGAGGGAGTAGATTTTCAAATCTTTGGTCGTGTTGTCTCTGCTGATTTATCTAATCAAACTTTAGAGTAAATCGTATCATTTATACTAGATGCGATTGAGCACAGAGTTAAATAGTCTACTGTCTCAGATTACTCGCAAAGATATTTCCCTTAGCGAATCTAAAATTAAGATAAAAGATCTTCAGTCTAGAATAAAAATATTAGAAATGAAACTATCTTCAACTCAGAATGAATCCAAGAAAATTAGATCACTTGAGTCTATGGTTAAGATATTGGAAAGTAAGTGATCTTCAGCCCAGAAAGATGTGATTTCTATTCAAAAGTATTCATCGAAAAAAGAATTCGAGATATTATTCATCAAGTCTAAAATAGCTTAAGTAGAACATGAGCTAGCTTCAAAAGTTAGTGAACTTGAGTGTCTAAAACCAGAGGCTATATCAAAGCCCATACTTGGTGGAAATGATGAAAAAAATATGACCAAGTCTGATTATCTGCAGTTATTGAACCTAGAAAAAATCTCAGTCAATATATATATAGTTCAAAAAAAAATGTATGAGGTTGAAAAAAATAATACTAATATGCCAGATCATGATGAAAAAAGTACTCTTATACCTGGATCTCCAAAAGTCGATACCGAGAGCACTCCCAAGATAAGTGATGAAGCTATTATTAACGAAATTGGTGAAAATATCAAAGGAACGGAATATGTGACTCCATATCTTGTACAACGGGAAAATAATATCCCATCTCTGATTGAATTGCGTCCTCAGATGAGACCTAGTCTCGAGGCTTTGCCTCTTCCAATAGAAGGGATAGAAGCAATTCCCATTGTGGCAAGTGGATTGATGTCACCGTTATTTCTTGCCTTATTGATCATATTAATTATATGGTTTGTTATATTGAGACGTGAATGGGGAGTGAATAAAAAAAGCGATTGATTTCGTAATACTGTACATGGACTGGGTAGAATCGATAGATTATCATCTCTATTAAAACTTGAATATTTTTTATTCAGTCTATAGAAATCCGAGTTATGGACTCCCAATCTGTCATGCGAAAGAACCGAAAAAAAGAACTACCACCTATGAAACTATTCCTTATGGATATGGATGAGGCCACAAAGCACGAATCAACCTGAATTCAATCTCACCCCGCAAGTCCATCATGACCTTTCAGTATGCTATTTACCGGAAAAAGTGGGTCAGGTAAGACTAATACGTATTTTGGCGAATCTTTTTCTCGGTAATAAAGCTGAATGCATATATAAAGGTAAAAAAGGTGACTCTAGATATATTGCATGTGATGATTTAATAGTTTGCGGTTGCCATCCTGACGAGCCAAGATGGGCATTTGTAAGATATATGTATGGCATAATTTCGAAAGATCCGAAAGCGCCTTACTATGAGAATATACGATTTAGCTATATATCGCCAGAAAAAATCCCTAGTGTTAGAGCATTTTTACCGGAACGAAGCACAGTGTTTGTTTTTGAGGATGTATGTCTGGCTCCAGAACATATACAGAATCGAATTGGCCAATTTTGGGGGAATGGGCGACATCGGAATATTTCATGCGTATATGTAGCACAGAAATATCATAATGTCCCTACTTTTATTCGTGAAAATATTTCTATCTAGTATTATTTAGCTCTGGTAGTTTGTATGTAGAAATTTCTAAAATTCTTCGGCAATATGCTGATGATGTCAAAAATGCTTCAATAGTTATTAACAAATACCTTCGTAAGGGAGAGTTTATTGTGTTCGATTTGAATAAACCAGAAGATAATCCATATGCAATTAGATTAAGATTCGATACTCCATTAAATCTGAGAAAAGAAATTCAGCTACGGCCAAAAAACAATGAAGAAGCTATCATTAAATGATGCATGTATAGTTGCTAAAGAACGTGGTGGGATGTGCCTTTCAACTGAATATAAAAATAACAGAACTCCATTAATGTGGCGCTGTTCTAAGAACCATGTATGGAATTCCCCACTTTCTAGAATTAAAAATTTAGGACAATGGTGTCCGCAATGTGCAGGTAAAGTAAAACTTACTCTTGAGGTTACTAAACAAATTGCATTATTAAAAAGTGGTCAATGTCTTTCAGAAAAGTACATTAATAATAGATTGCCATTACTATGGCGTTGTATTAAAGGTCATTCGCGGTATACATCTCTTAGCAATGTAAAATATCATGGTAAATAGTGCCCATATTGCGCAGGTAACGCTCGTCTTACTCTTGAAGATGCTAAGAAAATTGCGCTTAGCCGAAATGTAAATGTCTTTCAACCGCATATAGTAATTCCAAAACTCCTATGACATGGAAATGCCATCAAGGTCATATTTGGAATAGTCCGTTTCATAACATTAGTTCACGGTGCCCATATTGTGCGGGTATAGTAAAACTAACCCTTGGGGAATGTCTTTCAACTGAGTATAAGAATATAGATGAACCGCTTATATGGCATTGCCAATTTAACCATCAATGGCAAAATACACTTTACCACATTAAAAATAAAGGGCAATGGTGTCCATTTTGCATTGGTCGTTATCAATCAATTGAGGATATGCGTAAACTCGCACAAGTAAAAAATGGAGATTGCCTTTCAGATCGACACTATAATTCACGTAACAAGCTAGAATGGATTTGTGAAAATAATCATAGATGGTAAGCCGTTCCCAATAGTATTCAACAAGGAAGTTGGTGTCCATATTGTGCAGGTAGCATGAAATTAACTCTTGAGGATGCGAAGCAAATTGCATTAACTAGGCACGGGCAATGCCTTTCAACCAAGTATAAAAATAACCAATTTCCATTATTATGGTGTTGCAAAGAAGGCCATTTATGGCAAGCATCTCTTGGTAATGTAAAAAATGGTACTTTTTGTCCATTTGTTATAAATATAAACGTGAACAATTATGTCGAGAAATTGTAACAAAGTATCTTGGTTCACTATCTGAAAATCGCAGGCCAGATTTCTTGAAAATTCCTGAACACCCTAAAGGATTAGAATTTGATATATATTACTCAGAATATAGTTTTGTGATTGAAGTGCAAGGTGAATAACACGAAAAATTTAATAAGTTCTTTCATAGAGGCGATCCCAATAATTTTATCAAACAGAAAGCACGGGATCAACTCAAGAAAGAATTATGCGAAGAGAACCAGATTGCCTTGAGGTATGTTTGGTATTATGAAGACCCACTTATAGTTATTCCAGATCATCTTCGAATTGGGTCTTATTGAGTAAAATTTAAACTTTAATTACGTTTGTGAAATTTTAAATGTGCTTAAAACCAGAGTGGAAAATCACATAACTGTGCGACTCTGAGTCTCTCACTTTCACAGAAAAAATTATTACATTTTTTGCATATCATATATTTGCGATCATCCTGAAATCTGAATGAAGTAGCATAGCACAACACAATACATGTTGATAGAAAAAATGCTTGGTAATTAAAAAATAAACCCAAACAGAATCAACCAACATAATACGCAAGAAAATTTGTTAAAACAGAAGCTACAATATCGTGTGAAGTAGTCCTAATAAATGTCGAATGATTCTGTGATTGCAAATTGAACAAAAAAGAAGTCCAATAGAATAGGATCAGGAAGATTTCGAGGCATTTGTACAGTAGGCTTCAAATCATGGTAAAGACATCTTAATAATACGTTAATGATGCATTGACCTTGCACAATATTTAATTGAGCTCCTGAGCCATCCTGTGTACCGAATTCAAACTAATAATCTTATACATACATTAGAGATTTTTTTAATATATTAACAGAAAAGCGAATCACTACAGTCTAACATTACCTCAGTTACAAGGAGAGGTGTATTTCTCGTTCCTCTACCTGAAACACAGTAATGCCAAGCTTACAATGAATTAAAATATTAGAATGGTATGCAAATAATATGATGCTAGTCATGTTACACTGTATAAATATAACTTACTCTCATACGGGTAGGTACTTGACCTTGGGGAACCGGATCGATTTTTACAATAATACAATCATGGGCGCGACCAGGACTTAACCAGTAGCGCAACGCTTCTTCGACGTGATCTAGTGTCTCAGTGTAGGCTACTTCCACGACCAAATTTGGCCAAGGTTCTTCCTAAATAAAAAAGGTATATTAAATTACTAGCTTCAAAAAGTTCAAAACCAACAAAAAGTATAGAAATTACATTTCTGTCGCTCCCATTTGGCGCAGTTACAGCTGGCTTTTTTGGACGAAATGATGCGTCGGCTTCTTTTCCACGGTTTCTGTCGCGTGTTCCTTTAAAAAATAAAAATTAATACGATGCACACAAACAGAGCAATACGTTATAATATTAATACTTACGAGTAGAACCAACACTAAAGATTTTTGCATTTGTTCCGTCAGCATTACCGCAACTTTTAGCTATCATATTACTGATTTCTCACTATACCAAAAATAATAATTTTAGATTTTTTTGTTAACCATGCTATTTATAAAGGGAATTTATCACGTGATGACGCAGGATTAATGAGACGCTTAGCATTTTTATTCAGCTGTTAACCAAAAACAACAAAAATATCACTATACAGTATATCGATTCGGAAAATGCACAGTTTATGCAGTATAAGTTCAACAAGAACAAGGACAAGCTCTGCCACTACTGCGTAAGTAGATATGTGCAACTGTTACTCCTTATTTCTTCACTAATTTTCCAGAGATATTTTTAGTAGTGATGAACGAATGCCAGATTATACCTTTTATCGAAACCTTTGGTGGGACAAGGGAGAACTTAGCGAAAAGGCAAAGTGGGAAGAAGTAACGTAAGTCTCTTTTCCTACTTGTTTGATGTTGATATTTTTTTTAGCTAAATTATTATTCATGTATATAAGATTACCATATGTTCCTGCTGAGGAGATCGACATTGAGGAATATGAAAGACGTACAGAAAACTTTAATATATACGGATGTTGGGAGTGGGTAGAAGGAAAGATCGTAATTTATGAATTTTCTTCTATGCCACACGAAGTTGGTATTGGCGCAGTTACTAGGATATTATTGCACCAATGCGATGCCGTTGACTAGATTTATAGTTTTGGTGCTACTAGTAAGAATTATATATTGCACTGTTTGTGTGCGCATCGTATTAATTTTTATTTCTTAAAGGGACGCGTGATAGAAACCGTGGAAAAGGAACCGATGCTTCGTTTCGACCAAAAAAGCCAGCTGTAACTGCGCCAAATGGGAGTGACGGAAATGTGTTTCTATTCTTTTTATCGTTTTTGAACTTTTTGAAGCTGGTAATTTCATATAATTTTTTATTTAGGATCTTCCTTGGCCAAATTTGGTTGTGGAAGTAACCTATGCCGAAACATTGGATCAAAGAAGCGTTGCGCTACTGGTTAAGTCTTGGTCGCGCCCATGACTTTATTATCGTAAAAATCGATCCGGTTCTACAAGGTCAAGTACCTACCCGTATGAGAGATGTTATATTTATACAGTGCAGCATGACTAGAATCATATTATTCGATACATTCTTATATTTTAACTCATTGTAGGCTTGGCATTACTGTATCTCAGCAGGTAGAAGAACGAGGAACACACCTCCTCTTGTAACCGAGGTAATGTTAGACTATAGTGATTCGCTTTTCTGTTAACATATTAAAAATCTTTAATGTATATATAATGGTTATTAGTTTGAATTCGGTACGCAGGATGGCACGGAGTTCTAATATTGCGCAAAGACAATGCGTCATTAATATCTCATTAAGTTGTCTTTATCATGACTTGAAGCAACTTACGCCACCCACACCTCCTATCCAAATTTCTCGAAATAGTTTACCTGATCCTATTCCACTGAACTTTTTTTTGTTCAACATGACATTACAGAAGCATTTAATATTTATTAGGACTTCGCACAATATTGTGGCCTTTGTTTTAACAAATTTTTCGTATTATGTTTATTGAATCTGTTCGAGTTTATCTTTTAATTACTAAGTATTTTTTTACACCGCTAAATTCTGTCGTCAATAATGCTATGCTACTTTTAAACTTCTCATTCATTGATTTCACAGATCTATAATATGTAAAAAAATGTAATTATTTTCTCTATGAAAGTATAAGACCCAGAGTCGCGCAGTTATGTGATTTTTTCACTTTGATTTCGAGCAAATTAAAAAAAAATAAATTGATTGAAGTTTCATGTTTATTAAATGAGACCTAATTTTCGAGATGATCAGGAATAATTATATGTGGATCTTCCTAATCCCAAACATACAGTACTTTAGATCAATACAGTTTTCTTCACATAATTCTTTCTTGAGTTGATCCCGCACTTGCTGTTTGATAAAATTATTGGGATCGCCATTATGGAAGAATTCTACATATTTTTCGTGTTGTATGCCTTGTACTTCGATTGCAAAGTCATATTCTGGGTAATAAATATCAAGCTTTAATCCTGTGGGACATTCTTGTGTTTTGAGAAAATTATGTTTGCGGATTAGTGAAGAAGGGCCAAGATATTTCGTTAAAATTTCGTGACATAGCTTTTCTCATTTATATTTGAGAAGAATGGTCCTCTTAACCCGCCTGAAGATTTTATTGTAGATAGAGGTACCGAATATATGGGCGAATGTAAAGATTTATTACTCGGTTATAATTTAAAAATTAAGTATGCTACAGTAACTCTAAACGTGGTGTAGCTATTGCTAAACGTGACCATTAAGAATTTGAAAAACGTGCTTATTTTCGGAAAGATACTGAAGATTTTCATTTACCTTTGGCTGATAGAACCAGAGCATGGGTTAAGGGGCTTCATATAAATGATGATATTTTTAATAATACTTCAACTGGACTGATAGGTATGTATGTCTCCTAATGAGGTCGTAAAAAGAGCATTAAAGGGCAAAAAAAAAATAATAGCTAGACCTTCTGTCAAATATAGGAGATCGGTTGGTTATAATGAACCACCTTTATCTAGTTATACTGAAGTTTGACATTTATTGGAATTCGGTGAATTAAGTGCTAGAAGAAGAGCAACCGATTGTAATTGGTCTCCCGAAGTTTTACAATAAATTCTTATTTAATAAAAGAAAATCAACCTGTTCTCTATAATCTTTATAATGGTCCTAGACGCACATTTGTGAGAGAATAACTATTTCTTTTTCGAGTAATTCCTTAAATTGTTTTCTTCGGTTTTCTAATATTTTTCGTATATCACTTCGTGGGATCCAGGAATTTTTGCACGATGTACAGCTATAGCTCTTCTTTTAACTGCTGTTCCCAATTCTTCTTGTTCCCTAAATTCTAAATCCTTTTCTGACCTTTCTTGTCCTTCCTTAAGCTCTCCTAAGCATCTAATTTCTTCATTAATTAAATTCTTATACTTGTTATTTTTCCTAAGTGCTTGCGTTCCTCTTTATCATCCTCTAATTCATATTTTTTTGATAATCTAACTGCTTGTTCATCACATTGCTCAAGATCATGAAAAAGATTTTGGCAACAATCCAGATTTTCCGTTGTAATATATTTACCCAAACCGAGTTCTTCCCATCTTATTCGTAACCTTACTTCCCATTTCCTAGGTTTTCTTGTATTGGGGCTAACCCATTTTTTGGTTTATTTTTAGATAATTAAATGTCTATTTTTTTCATTACTCTTTTAATCGTTAACCTTAGGAGTTGAAGTTTGGGTATGAGTATTATTTCACTTTCTGGAAATATTTTTTTACGAATTTCAGCTACGACTCCTTTTTATCAATAAAACCTCCTCTTTCAAAATTCCTTTGTAAATATTTGAATACCGAATTTAGAAATATGCTCTATTTTGATGTAATATTATCTATATTGGGTTTATAACCCTCTTTTTTTATCTCTAAGTAGAAACGCTTTCTATCAAAATCCTCAGGTCTACAGCTTGTTTCCTGTTGTAAGTTTTCAAAAGTGCTTAGTTGTCTTTTTATGTTTTGATAGTTCCATTTTATATTAGAATTTTTAAATGGAATATCTTTATTAAGTATTTCACTGGAAGTTAAATTAGGCTTTTGATTAACCACTTGAACAGATTTCTGTTTATCCTTTTGAATAGATATTTGATTTGGTACATTATTAGAATAAGTGGGGATCAAGGTTGGGGATCCTTTTGAGACTGTCTGATTTTTTCGCTTAAGATGCTCACGAAGATTTTGAGGAGTTGAGCATTTTCGTCCACAACATTCATAGATTATACCTTGCTAATCACTTCTTGCTTTTTTGAACATGATATTATTAGCTCTAACCGTTGTACTATTACTTTCTTATAATTTTTTCTTTAATCAATTGTTTCCTATTCTTTTCAGTTTTTGATCATAGAGTCATTACCAAAAGTGGTATTTACGGGCTTTCCAAAATGCTTCTTCATTTGCTTCGCGCTCACGGCCTGCTTATGCAGATTTGAGTTATGTTTTCTTACCTATAGATTGATAAATCAGGGGGAAACTAAAGAAACTTTCAAAATTTGGTGATAAAAAATAGGATGATCGGTGTATATTCCTGCCATATCTTTGCAATACCGGAAAGACCTATGGGAATGCTTCTATTAGGTCTGAAGAGTGCCGATTTTATTAGAAATCAAAAAAACGGAAACTATGTTCTGATTGTGGTAAGCCTACATCCTCTGCTCGTGGCCGATATCCTCTACATGTTAGAGGCTTTATATTATCCAATATTACAATAAGTTGCGGGCTAATGACACCCATAGATATACTCTTGCAAATATGTATCTCTTTGCCGAGAATACCCTTTTTCAATCAAAATAGAGGAGGGTATTGAGTATTGTAATGACTGTCAACCTACTTAAATATTGCGATTGAACATATATATTTTATTAAGCTGACCAGCACATAGACAGTTTTTAATATATTGCTTTTTCGCAATAAACTCACTAGAATCAATTCCTAATATGCTGTACATATTTTTTCGATATATTATCTTATAAAATAATATATTCTGGAAGAGATTAGGACAGCTAGACTTTTTTGCGAATATTTTTTTAGATTTAACTTTTTTTCCTTAAATATTAAATATACTATTTAGAAAGCTAGCCCGGGACAATTTCGTGGATTTTTTTTTTTTTTTTTTGGATTTTCATGAGAAATATGTTGAATTTGCGATAAAATTTGTTAGATTTATTTAATCATTATGTTATTTATTAAGCAAACGCATAGAGAAATAAATGCTGATATATTATATTCTTTATGCTAATTTATGAGCAAATACACATAAAAACAAATGCTAATATACATAAATTTGATTAGACTTATATAGTAAATATGTTATTTAAAGAGCTAACTTGTATAGAAGCTATTCTTGTCTATGAAAAATTCATTATATTTAAAAGGTCGTGTGATTTTTGATATGCCAATTAATGTGCGGACTCCTGAAAAGCAATTCTTGATTAAAATATATTTATTTATGAGGTAATAAGAACCGTTAGACTTATTTTCATTAACTTAAGAAAACTA